TATACTGCATAATAGGATACTTGGAGCATATTTCTTTTCTGTGTACCCCCATCTTAATTTTCTTAAGCTGTTTAATTTTTCTGGGTACATAGTAGATATATATATATTTATGGGGTACATGAGATGTTTTGACACAGGCATGTAATGGAGAAATAAGCACATCACGGGGAATGGCATATTCATCCCGTCAAGCATTTGTCCTCTGAGTTACAAACAATCCAATTACATTCTTTATTTTAAAAATGTACAATTGTTATTATTGACTATAGTCATCCTATTGTACTGCTAAATAGTAGGTCTTATTCATTCTTCGCATTTTTTTTTTTTACCATTTGACCTTCCCTACCTCCCAGTACCCCCACTACCCTTCCCGGACTCTATGTTTTGATCAGCTTATTTGACTTTTACCTATATAGTTATTTGAGCTCCTTATATATTCTGGTGATTAATCCACTACCAAAAGGGTAGTATGCAAATATTTACTCCCATCCTATGGGTTGTCTCTTCACTTTGTTGATTGTATCATTTATTATGCAGAAGCTCTTTAATTTTGTATGATCCCATTTGTCCATTTTTGCTTTGGTTGCCAGTGCTTGTGAAGTCTTACTCAATAAATCTGTGCACAGACTAATGTGGAAATGGTTTGGCTATGTGTCCTCCCAAATCTCATCTTTAATTTTAGTTCCTATAATCCTCATGTTATGGGAGGGACCTGGTGGGTGGTAATTTAATCATGGAGGCAGTTACTGTCATGCTGTTCTCAAGATAGTGAGTTCTTATGAGATCTGATGGCTATATAAGCAGTTTTTCCTGCTTTTTTTCAGCACATCTCCTTCCTGCCATCATGTGAAGAAATTTGTGTTTACCTCCTCTTCCACCGTGATTACAAGTTTTCTGAGGCCTCCCCAGCCATGCTTCGAATTGTGAGTCAATTAAATCTCTTTTCTTTATAAATTTCCCAGTCTTAGACAGTTCTTTATGGCAGTGTGAGAATGGACTAATATGTTAAATTGGTACCACAGAGAGTGGTGTGCTGCTGTAAAGATATCAAATGTAGAAGCAACTTTGGAACTGAGTAGCAGGCAGAGGTTGAAACAGTTTGGAGGGCTCAAGAGAAGACAGGAAAATGTGGGAAAGTTTGGAACTTCCTAGAGATTTGTTAAATGGCTTTGACTGAAATGCTGATAGTAATATGAACAATGAAGTTCTGTCTGAGGCAATCTCAGATGGAGATGAGAAACTTGTTGGGAACTGGAGTAATGGTCACTGTTGCTATGCAAAGAGACTGGTGGGATTTTTTCCCTGCCCTAGATATTTTTAGAACTTGTAACTTGAGAGAAATGATTTAGGGTATCTGATGGAAGACATTTCTAAGTGGCAAAGCATTCAAGAGAAGGCAGAGCATAAAAGTTTGGAAAATGTGAAGCCTGATGATGTCATAGAAAAAAAATTCTGGGGAGAAATTCAAGCTGGCTGCAGAAATTTGCATAAGTAACAAGGAGCCGACTGTTAACCACCAAGACAATGTCTGCAGAGCATATAACAGAAATTTTGGCAGCCCCTCCCATCACAGGCCCAGAGGACTAACATTGAAAAATTATTTCTTGGGCTGGGCCCAGGGTCCCCTTGCTCTATTCAACCTAAACACATGGTGTCCTGCATCCCAGCTGCTTCAGCTCCAGTTGTAGCTAAAAGGGGCCAACATACAGCTCACGGCCATTGCTTCAGTGGGTCCAAACACCAAACATTGGCAGTGTACATGTGGCTCTGGGCTTGCAAATATGCAGAAGTCAAGAATTGAGATTTGGGGACCTCCCCTTAGATTTCAGAGGATGTATGGAAATGCCTAAATGTCCAGGCAGAAGTTTGCTACAGGGGCAGAACCCTCATGGAGAACCTCTGCTAGGACAGTGTGGAAGGGAAATGTGGGGTCAGAGTCCCCACACAGAGTTCCCACTGGGGCACTGCCTACTGGAGTTATGAGAAGAGGGCCACTGTCCTCCAGACGCCAGAATGGTAGATCCACTTAACAGCCTGCACCATGCACCTCGAAAAGCTACAGATAGTCAATGCCAGCCTGTGAAAGCAACTGGGAGGGAGGCTGTACCCTGCACAGCAATAGAGGTGGAGCTGCCCAAGGCCATGAAAGCCCACTTCTTGCACCAGTGTGACCTGGATGTGAGATATGAAGTCAAAAGAGATCATTTTGAAACATTCAGGTTTAATGACTGCCCCTAATTGATTTCAGGCTTGCATGGAATCTGTAGCCTTTCTGTTTTTACCAGTCTCTTTCATTGAAACAGATGTATTTACCCAATGCTAGTAACCTCATTGTATCTAGGAAGTCATTAACTTGCTCTTGATTTTACAAGCTCATAGGCTGAAGAGACTTACTTTGTCTCAGATGAGACTTTGGACTTGGACTTTTGCATTAATGCTAAATGAGTTAAGACTTTGGGGGACTGTTGGAAAGGCATGGTTGTGTTTTGAAATGTGAAGACATGAGGTTTGGGAGGGTCTAGGGGCTGAATGATATAGTTTGGCTGTGTCCCGTGCTCATATCTCATCTTGAATTATAGTTCCCATAAAACCCACATGTCATGGGAGCGATCTGGTGGGAGGTAATGTAATTATGGAGGTTGTTACCCTCATGCTGTTCTCGTGATAGTGACTGAGTTCTCACAAGATCTGATGGCATTATAAGTGGCTTTCCCTTACCTTTGCTCGGCACTTCTCCTTCCTGTCATAATGTGAAAAAGTATGTGTTTGCTTTCCCTTCTGCCATTATTGTAAGTTTCCTGAGGCATCCCCACCCATGCAGAACTGTGAGTCAATTAAACCTGTTTCCTTTATAAATTACCCAATCTCAGGCAGTTCTTTATAGCAGCATGAGAACAGACTGATACAAATGTCCTGGAGTTTTTCCCCAATGTTTTCTTGCAGCAATTTCATAGCTTCAGGTGTTAGATTGAAGTCTTTACTCCATTTTGACTTTACTTTTGCATATGGTGAGAGACATGGGTCCAGTTTTATTTTTCTGCATATGAATATTAAGTTTTCCCAGTACCATTTATTGAAGAGACTATCTTTTCCCCAGTGTATATTCTTGGCATCTTTGTCAAAAATTATGTGTGAGGATTTATTTCTGGGTTCTTTATTCTGTGTGAGGATTTATTTCTGGGTTCTTTATTCTGTTCCACAATCTATATATCTGTTTTTATTACCACTACCATGCTATTTTGGTTACTATAGCTCTGTAGTATAATTTGAAGTCAGGTGGTGTAATTCCTCCGATTTCTTTTTCTTTTTGCTCAAGGTAGCTTTGGCTATTCTGGATCTTTTGTGTTTTCTGTAAATTTCAGAAATTTTTTTCTATTTCTATTTCTATTAAGAATGTCATTGATATTTTGATAGGGATTGTATTGAATCTGTGGATTGATTGGGGTACATTTAACGTTAACAATATTCATTTTTCTAATTCATCAACATAAAATATTTTCTCATTTTTTGGTGTTCCTCTTCAGTTTTTTCATCAGGGTTTCAGAGTTTTCATTGTCGAGATCATTTAGGATAAGACTAGTTTATACATCATAGTTACAGTGTTATAATATTCTGTATTTTTCTGTGTACTTACTATTACTAATGAGTTTTGTAACTTCAGGTGATTATTTATTACTCATTAGTATTATTTTCTTTCTGGTTCAAGTATTCCCTTTAGCATTTCCTGTAGGACAGGTCTGGCATTGATGAAATCCCTTAGCTTTTGTTTGTCTGGGAATGTCTTTATTTCTTTTTTTTTTTTTTTAAGACGGGGTTTCACTATGTTGGTCAGGCTGGTCTTGAACTCCCAACCTGAGGTGATCCGCCCGCCTTGGCCTCCAAAGTGCTTGGATTACAGGCGTGAGGCACCATGCCCAGCCGAAAGTCTTTATTTCTCCTTAATGTTTGAAGTATATTTTCACTGGAAAAACTATGCTAGGGTAAAAGTTATTTTACTTTGGTGCTTTAAATATGTCATGCCACTCTCTCCTGGACTGTAAGGTTTCCACTGAAAAGTCTGCTATCAGACATTAAAGCACCATTGTATGATATTTTTTTCTTCGATCTTGCTGCTTTTAGAACCCTTTCTTTATACTTTACCTTTGGGAGTTTGATTATTAAATGTCTTAAGATAGTCTTCCTTGGTTTTATTCTGCTTGGTGTTCTATAGCCTTGTACTTGGATATTGATATCTTTCTCTAGGTTTGGGGAGCTCTCTGTTATTATCACTTCAAAAAAACTTTCACTACTATGACTGTACTGGGTCAGACTTGATGCCAGCACAGTGCTAGGTCTCACCAAGGTCTGCTAAGCTACTGTCTAACTGGGGTTCTACAATCCACAGGTGGAAAAGTCACTCAGGCCTCTGTTCTTCTTTTAAGGGCTGTGAGGTCCCCGGGGCTGTGGTTGGATCCAGAAGTGCCATCCATCTTCTTCTGCCTCTCCTGAGGCATATTTCTATATCTTTGAATATTTGAGCTTTTAGTCGAAAAATGTTGGGAAAAAATTTGGAGGAATTGATGAATTATCTTTAATTTCTGTAGGCCTAACAAATATCCGATTCATGGAATATGTTTCATTTTAAAGTTGTATCTAATATAAACAAAGTCTAAAACATTAATATTTTACAAACAGTATTGGTATGGGGGTGAGATCTGTATTGTAGAAGAGTTATTCATTTTCCCCAGGAGTAAAAAAATATTAAATGAATTATCCACAAGAATGTAGAATGTGTTTAGGTCATGAAGGCTTCACCCTTATGAATGGGTTAATGCCATTCTTAAAGGACTTGGTGGAGAGAGTTTAGTCCCTTTTTTTGCCCTTTTACCTTCTACCGTGTGAAGATAAAGCATTCCAGAGAAGGTAGCAACAAGGCTTCATCTTTGAAGCAGAGACTGGGCCCTTACTAGGCATCAACTCTGCTGGTACCTTGACCTTAAACTCCCAGCCTTCAGAAATAGAAGAAACAAATTTCTGTTTATTATAAATTGCCTTGTCTCAGTTATTTGATTATAGCAGCACAAATGGCCTGAGACAGGGGCAGAGCCCAAGAATGGTATGTCCCAGATTTCATGTCAGTTCAAGGTTAAGAATGTAGTGGGAGTATGGCCGATCTGGAGTAAGGTCTCAGTTACTGCTAAATCTGTACAAGCCCTGCTCCTACAGAGCCTGCAATTGAGGCATCAACCACACCCTGCTGGTATTATGGAAAATCTTTAAGAACGACGGCAAAGAGTATTTAGAGGTATAGCCGAATGTGAACTGTCTCTTTTTGGGAGGAGTTTGTTCCATGGATTAAGGAAGAAACAGTAAAGAAGGAATTTGTGGTATGCAAAATTCTTTGACCTGCACACTCAAAAGAATTTGTGAGCTTCTTGTTTCTCCTCCTGCTGACTCAAGTCGAAACCAATGTAGTTAATAAATCACATCATACATGTTCATTTCAGCCTGTTCCACCAAGTGGGAAAATGGAGACCTGGGAAAAGATGAAAGTCTATTTCCTGGTAACTGTGATTAGAGTAGCCATAGCAGCCTTTAATTAGATTGCTTTTCTTGTCCTTTCTGTTTACCAGGAGCTTCAGTCACCTGTTGATTAGGTGGAAGGAGAACAGAGGGTCTCAGTTAGTGCATGTCATTAAAAAGAAAACAAAAACTTGATACTGATTTGGATAAATTGTGTTCATTGGGTCAGTTTCCAATATGAGGCTCAGTAGTAACTATATACCCCAAAGATCTCATGTCTTCAACAGCTCTGGCTGATTTCCTGCTTGTTTTTAAATTTACTATTATGTATACAATATCATACTTGGCCTTCTTGAGAGAATAATGTGAAGTTCCCAAAGAGAAACTCCTCATGTGGGAAGGAGCCAAATGGGAATTAAGTATCCCCCATGCTAGTATAAGAATAAAGGAGAATTCTCTCATCTGTGTGCTTGTATATCTTTGAGAGCTTTGTTTTAGGACTCATATTAATTAGTGAACTGAACCAGTTAACTCAGGCAACTCATACAAATAGTCTTTTCATCCCTATGCACTACTTTTTGGAAGCAAACATCTTATTAATAAAAATTAAGAACTTAAAACAATTTATTATAAGCAGAAGTATTTCATCATGATTAAAGTGGGGATTATGGAAACACTCAATTAGAGTTACACTCCAGGTCTGCCACTTCTTAGCTCTGTACCTCAGCTTTATCTTACCAGGTCTATGTTTTGGGCAAGTAGTTTAACCTCCCTATGCCCCAGTTTTTCCATCTGTAAAATGGAAAAACTGCTTACCTATATAATTGTGAAAATTAAATGTTTGTTATACGTAAGGTGCTTAGAATCATACCTGGCATATAGAGAGAAAGCAAAGGTATTTGTTATTATTATATTACTTTTTCCTTTTAAAGTGAAATATTTAGAAATACTTAGAAATGCAAAATGAAAGTCTATGGTTAACTTGATATTTGAGATTTATGTCAGACCTGTATGATTCCGTTTCTTAGAAGCTATTCAATTGCATTGCCTTTTAAAAAAAATACCTAAAATGTAATTTCTATTTCACTTTTGAGTTAACAGAAATAGAACAAACATATTCATTACAACTAACCCTTAAGCTAAGGATCTCCCATAGCAGTGATTGTCAAACCTAATTGTGTATCAGAATCACGTGGAGCGTTGTTCAACTACAAATTTCTGGGTCCATACTCAGAGTTTCTCATTCAATATGCTTAGAGTAAAGCCTGAAATATTGCATTTCTAACTATTTCAAATATAATGTTAATGCTGCTGGTCTGGGGACCACTCTTGAAAACCATTGTCTTAGTGAAAGCAATCTACTGTTTGTTGGGGAAATAATTTTGGAAATTTAAACAGTAAATTTATTCTGTGTATGCATGTATATATATAAAGTAATTATTTAAAAGATGTGTAAAATTAATAATATATAATTTACTATATAGTTACAAGGGTAAGACTTACAAAATAAAATTATGTAAATACAAATATGTAGGAGGTTTAATATCCATGTGATGCTTTTAATTAAGTGCTAAGTGATTTTAAAGCAACTAAGAGAAAAATTATTCAACAAGCAGTTAGAAATTCTCTTTAAACAGATGAAAAATAGCAAAACTCCATACAGAAATAGAAATTAATCAAAGGAAACAAATTGAAATAATAGATCTGGAAAATAATGTCAGATAAACTTTTAAAGCTTGCTAGACTGGCTCAGATGGCATGGCAGAGGATAGAATTGTTAAAAGTTCAATCAGAATACCGATTTACAGATTGGAATCAGTTATTCCAATCTGAATAACATAGGGAAAATAAACTGAAAAAAAAAATAGAGTCTCAAGGACCTATAGAATAATAAACCATCTAACATTTGTGTCTTTAGAGAGGAGAAAGAGAGGTAGGATGAAAGAGCATTCAAAAAAATGATGTTTAAAACTTTCCAAATCTAGCAAAATGTATAAGACCACAGAGTCAAAACACTGACATGAGTCTACATGGGAAATCCCAAGAAATCTGCATACCAAATAAACAAAACTTCTAAAATTAATAAATGAAGCTAGCCGAGCCACGACACATATCAAGCCACGACACATATACAAAAATCCATAGCATTTTTGTATACTAACAATGAGCATGTAGAAAACAAATTTTAAAGTGCCATAATATTTATAATCACTCCAAAGAAAATTAAATACTTATGTATTCACTAAAAGACTTAAGTTTAGGTAGAATAGTTTCTCTCATTTTATTCACTTAAACATACAGAATCTGTATGCTGAAAATTACAAAATTCTGGCTAAAGAAATGAAGATAGAAATAAATGGGGAAATACATTGTTTACATGTATTGGAAGATTCAACATAGTAAAGGTGTTAATTCTTCCCAAATTGATTTTTAAGTTTAATATAATTTCTGTAAAAATCCTCAAAATTGTTTTTGTAGACCTAGAGCTTATCATAAAATTTACATGTAAAGGCACAGACCCTAGAATAGCTTAAAAATAAAAAAAAAATAATAATAAGAGAGATCTCAGTATACGCAACAGTAACATCTAAAAGTTACAACAATGAGTACTGTATCATATTGATAGAGGCATAGACATAGAGGTCAATGGGAAGGAGTCCAAAAACAGACCCACACAAACTTGTTCAACTGATTTTTGACAAAAACACAAAAGCAATTCAATGAAGGAAAAATTGACTTTCAACAAATGGTGTGGAAGTAATTGGACATCCAAGGCAAAATTATACATGGCCTAAACCTCACACTTTATACAAAAAGTTATATGCAAATGTATCAGATATTTAAATGTAAAACAAAAAATTATAATAATTTTAGAAAAAATAGGATAAAATCTTCATGATCTAGGATTAAGCAAAGACTTTGTAGACTTGAGAACAAAAATCACAATATATAAAAGGAAAAAATAATAAATTTGACCTCAACAAAATTTAAAACTTTTATTTTAGTTTGCAAAAGGTCCTCTGCTGTGAATGAAAAGATAAGCTACAGGTTGAGAGAAAATAATTGCCAATTCTGTGTCCAAAAAAAGGACAAGTACCTAGAATACAGAAATAATGGTCAAAATTCAATAGTGAAATAAAGAACAGCTGTGCATCTAGAATTCTTTATCAAGTGAAAATATACCTGAACATTGAAGGTAATATGAAGTTAATTAGAAGTAAATTAAAATGAAGAATTTGTCACCACCACACCTGGACTACAAGAAATGCTAAAGAAAATTTTTCAGGCTGAAGAAAAATTAGACCAACTGCAAACTTGTATGCCCATAAAGAAATATATACTTTTTAAAAATTTTAATTCCTTTTAATTTTTAAAGCAAAAATTATTACACAATTATGAACAACAGGGTTTATAACAAAGTTATGCTATACATAAAAACTGTAATACAATGATTGTGCATATAGTAAATGAACCCATATGTTTCAGTGTTTCTACTTTTATAATAAGTGGTATAATACTAACTCTAATATGCTGTAAAAAGTTAAGGATTTATACTATAATCCAGAAAAAAAAAACACTAAAAATTATGTAAGCAGTACTACAGAACAAATGGACTTAATGAATATTTACAGAATCTTTCTTCCAAAGGCTGAAGAATACACATGGATTATATAGACCACATGTTATGTCGCAAAATAAGTCTTAAAACATTTAAAAAATTAAAATAATATCAAGCACCTTCTCTGACCACAATGCAATAAAATTAGAAATAAAAAATGAAGATTATTGAAAACTATACAAGTACAAGGAGATTAAATAGGCTCCTGAATGACCAGTGGGTCAAAGAATAAATTAAAAAGAAAATTTCTTCAAACAAATGATAATGGAAACATAATATACCAAAACCTATGGGATACAGCAAAATTAGTACTAAGAGGGACATTTATTGATATAAATGCCTACATAAAAAAGAAGAAAAACTTCAAATAAATAACCTAAAGATGCATGTTAAAGAACTAGAAAAGCAGAACAAAGTGATCATAAAATTAATAGAAGAAAAGAAATAATAAAGATTAGAGCAGAAATAAATGAATTTGAATTGAATAAAACAATACAAAAGATCAGTAAAACAAAAAAAGTTTTTTTTTAAAATAACAAAATTGACATAACTTTTATAAGATTAATGAAGAAAATAAGGGAGAAGACAAAAATAAATAAAATCAGAGATGAAAAGGGAGACATTACATTTCATATTGCAGAAAATCAAAGGATAATTGGTGGCCATTATGAGCAACTATATGCCAATAAATTGGAAAATATACGAGATATGGATACATTCCTAGACACATACAACATATCAAGATTGAACCATGAAGAAATCCAAAACCTAAACAAACCAATAATAATTAATGAGATTAAAGCCATAATAAAAAGTCTCTCAGTAGAGAAAAGCCTGAGACCCAACTGTTTCACTGCTGAATTCTACCAAACATTTAAAGAACTAATACCAATCCTACCCGAACTATTTTTTAAAAAAATAGAGGATGAGGAAATACTTCAAAACTCATTTACAAGGCCATTGTTACCCTAATATTAAAACCAGGCAAAACCATATCAAAAAAAGAAAACTACAGGTTAATATATCTGATGAATATTAATGCAAAAGTTCTAAACAAAATACTAGCAAACTAAATTGAACAAAACATTAGAAAGATTGTGCATCACGACCAAGTAGGATTTATCCCAGTGATGCAAGGATGGTTCAACAAAAACAAATCTATCAACATGATACATCATCAGCAGAATGAAGGACAAAAACCATATGATCATTTAAGTAGATGTTGAAAAGCATTTGATAAAATTCAACAACATTTCCTGGCATGGTAGCTCACGCCTGTCATCTCAGCACTTTGGAGGGCTGAGGCGGGCATATCATGAGGTGAGGAGATCAAGACCATCCTGGGTAATATGGTGAAACCCCATCTCTACTAAAAATACAAAAATTAGCTGGGCGTGGTGGCACGTGCCTGTAGTCCCAGCTACTCTGGAGGCTGAGGCAGGAGAATCACTTGAACCTAGGAGGTGGAAGTTACAGGACTCCAGCCTGGTGACAGAGCAAGACT